GGAAAGAGGACAGGACGAAGGTGGAATAGCGCCATGCGACATGCTCCGTCGCAAAGGATTGCTTTCCTGGCACATAACCTTGTATCGCCCTCCGCCCTCGCTCGCGCCCAACCTCAGGATCATGCAACAGCAGTCGCATACGTCGAGGCTCCTATTTCTACAGCGGCGGGCGGAACCAGTACCATTGGTGTGTCCCCTGCTACCAGGAAATCAAAGGAGGTAGGGAGGCAGGGAGGGAGGGAGGGAGGGAATATGGGCCGGACGGGTCCCAAAGACGTGGCCCAGACGTGGACATTAACGAGGCTTATACACACACAGAGGAGATCCATATCGGCGGGACCGTGCTGAAGAAAAGCGAGCTCATCAAGGATAAGAACGACAAGGTACGTACCTCCACCCATGGCGGAAGGGGTCAGGAGCCAAGGCGCAATTTGCGAGAAGGCGGAGGCCCCATGTTTCCTTTGCTCACGCCTTGTTCCTGTCTCGGTGTTTTTCGGGGATGTCTCCTGTCTTTCCGTGCAGCTTCGGGAGGAATTTTGGGTCGGCTGCGATTCGTGCTCCCAGTGGGTGCACCAAGTCTGCGCACTCTACAACGGGCGGAACGATCAAGGTATGTCTATCCGCCCCTCCCTCTCCCCTCCCCTTAGCTACTTGGATGCGGCGGACACGTTTTTTTTTGCTTGACAGCTTTCCCTCTATCGTCCCTCCCTGTCTCCTTTGCCCCATGCTGTCCTGGCTGTAGGCGAGCAAGTCAAGTACTATTGCCCTCCCTGTACCCTGAAACGTCGAAAGAGCATGCCGAACGGGGGAATTCCCTCCACGCCTCCCCTGTCCGCCAAGTTTATCAAGCATAACAAATTCTCGGCCTTCATCGAGAAGAGGTGCGGGGAGGAGATGGGAGGAGGAAAGGAAGGAGAGAGGGGAAAAGGGGGGGGGGAAATCGACGGAGAGGAGACAGAAGGGGGCGTTGGCGTGTCAGGGCCATATGGAAGGAGGGTGGGGGACTGAAGCCAAGGGGAGGAGACGAGCACAGTGTGAAACAATCGGGGGCCCAGACATTTATATTTCACGCTCCATTCCCATCCCCCCCCTGATCCGTCGCCCTCCCTCCTCATCAGAGTGCATGCCAGGTACAAGGAGTGCTATGAGGGGCGGGTCAGGGACGCCAAGAAGGAGCAACGCCACAAGATCGGTAGGTGTCCTTCCTCCTTCCCTCCTCCCCCCCCTGGTCTCCCTTTGTGCTCCCCTCACTGTGCTTGGATGTACACAGTACACAATGCATATTCTTCACTTCATCTCTTATACATATATAGATATATCCTGTCATTTTCTTTACGTTTCAACCGTATATATATATGTGTGTGTATATCCTGTCATTTTCTTTACGTTTCAAGCCCCGTTTGCCTTGAGGTTGCCGTATTATTCTCAAGTTAGCCTGTAGGCCCGTGGACTTCATGCCCGTTTGCTTCCCCTTCCTCCCTCCCTCTTCCCCTCCCTCCCTCCCTCTTCCCCTCCCTTCCCATCGTGCTCAGTGGAAGAAATGGAGCGCAACGCCGTCTACATTCGGCAAGTCCTTTCGACCGACAAGACTTTCCCAGTTCGAGAACGG